AATTTGTGGCACTGAGGCTATATATTCTTTTCCAGGGGGAATTCATTTACAGAATGTATTTCACACGTCCACTGCAGCCGCTATTCCACTTCAGGTTCACTTTAACCGAATGTTCTTATGCTTATTTGTAGCTTATTTGCGGGCAGAAGAAATATACCGACATCTGGGAATGGAACAATTTAAGCGCATTGGCATCTGAACAAAGAAAGAACTAACCTTAGAATTTTGGCGGAAAGTACAAAGAATTTTAAAATAATGAGCTTAAGGGATGGCACACTTCCAAAGCTATTAACACATACGCCTTGCCCATCTTAATCTTAGGTTACTCAGCTGGAGTCTTGTCGTGGAGTATCACGGACACAGATAACATTCAACAAAGAGTGAGAGTACTACCCTAGACAATCTTAGAACTTCAGTTGAACGTGTGATCCTCCCAAGACGGGAGAGGCTTCTCTGACATCAACAACAGTATTTGCAAGCACTTTGACAGTCTCAGGAAATTCTTCCACATGTACAGCACATACGTTCACAACACTACATTTACACATGTAAATATACATATACATGGAAATTTATATAATTGGGAACCGCTTTACCATCTTCATGCTTGGCTACTGCTGGCAACATAACTGCAAGTTATGTCCATGGACTCAATTTGTCAATGGGTACGATTACAGTTAGCTAACTTGTAAATGACTGCATGACTATCTATTGAAATGCCTGCGTCCTACATGACGTTCATTTGTTTCCCGGGCAGTCAAACTGGACCCTTTTTACGATAACTCCTTTAAACACATATACACTCGTTTACAAACAATACGTACACGTACTGAATCGCGAACATTACTCAACCCTTCCTTGGTTAGAGAAAGTAAGCGCGTAAGCGTATTGCGACTGCGCCGGAAGGAGCTAAAACGATAGAATTTCGGTAAACACCTTCGTCTCCGGAAGCACGCAGGACCGCTGCTAAGCGCTGTCTCTTACAATAATCTTCTCTACTTAGTTTGTATAAAGTGCACTGCACTTTTGAGACATACTTCGCAGGCAGCTGCTCCTCCACAGGCGAGCCAAATCCTTCACTTAGGTGGAGAATTGAGGGAGAAGGGCCTATAAGGGAGGGGAAGCACTAAACTCCGTCTAACTTCTACTTCTGCAATTGCTCTATTAATTGTTTTGTATGCGAATCTAGCATTGCATGCGAATTTCACATTAAAAGGTGACTGTTTTGTATGTTTATGTGAATAAGCTATTAATTAATTTGAATAAGAATAAGTAATGGGTCACATTCATGTGAAAATTGGTATTTGCATACTTATGTAAGAACGCAAAAGTGCGAAGTCGAACGTAACGTTCATTCATTCTCTAGCATTACTTACAGTTTTGTTTTCTCCATATTCACTTGAAATTCTTCAAGTTCAATAAGTTCCGAGGTAATACTGGTCGTAGGTATTCGCAAATTTATTTTTTAAAGTACGATAATGATTCGACTGTAAATTGAAATCAAACTGCAACGCGATTTACGTCGTAATTTAATCGACCACTTACAGATGTCAACATCAGTGTTGCCAACGTCGTGAAAGAAAATTATGGCGTATTAAACAAAAAATGTCTTTGGTTTCTGGTATTTAATCAACGCCACCTACGTAGTTCGATTTTGGCGTTGGTTTAATTCTTGACATTACCATTAAGATCGCAGCTTCAAAACACGAAAAAACACGTTTTTGGAAACTTCGTTAAATATTCTAACGGGATACGAAAACAAATTGAATAACGGAATACGAAAAAAAAGCACGTCCGCACATTCAAAAGCTTTACTGAAATACTGTATAGTGATGAATACAATTGTTTCCAAAAGCATCAGCCAATGGCACTCAAGAGATAGCTTTTATTCACTCGTTAAAACGTCTTCTCTGCTCTTATAACATTTTCTTTCGCGATTATAATCCTATTTTAATTTCTTATACCACGTTCCTAATTCTTATCTGCGTGGCGTGTTCGCATGGGCACGCTGTTCGAATCTGTAGATAGTTCGAATTTTCACCTTAAAATGTTGCAGTAATGCAATTAGAACTTCATGTTGTTTTCCATAACATCTTAAAAGGCGTGCCACGTGCATTTCAACATTTTGAAAAAAAAAATTTTGAAAAGTATTAACTGGAGTAATGAACATTAAAAAAATCAGGTAGATAATATATATTGGGATTGTCGCATTAAGCAGACGGCGATTCAGAATTCCCGGGCTAAGTTTCTGTGGTTTTGATTGGCTAAATGGATGTCAAGTTATGCGCAGGTTATGCTGGGACCAAGTACGACGCGCTCCTCATGCGTGACGGACTGTTTACAAGACAAAATTGGTGCAAATTCGAATCGCATCTATGGATTCTGTCCCAGGAGGAAAGGCACGTATTCACTTTTTAATGAATAGAACATCTACTTCGCTTGACAGTTTCCTCGCTAATGCATTTCCATTAATATATGGTTTACTAAATAAATCCCTGGAGATTTGTGGGACGTGCTGTCACACAAGAATATTTTTTAAATGCTTTGTATTGCTTTATATATAATACGTAATGTAATGTAAGGGAGTATATTGAAATATGTGATTTTCATCGTCTCTTGAAAATCCTTCCTTGCAACCCAAAGCTCATGCATGACGTTCATAGACTGGAGATAAAGGAGTAAAGAAATGAAAATTGGTAATTCATCTTATATGAAAAGCGAATAGAAAAAACATTTGCCTGAAAGATATGGGAAAATATGAAACATTATTTGGTCATTATTTGTTGTAAATTATGTCTTTATTATATTGTTATATTGGCATATATTTATACATTTTCCACTTTTTTTGTACAGATAAAGGAAGAGCCTCATAGTGATCCAGAAGATGAGGCAATGGTAAGTTCATTGAAATGGAAATTGGATTTGAAAAATTCTTGCCCAATTGTTAACAATAGTTTTGGTTATTTTTGGTTTTGGTTATATTATCCTTTGCTGACATTTCATCTAGTCATGCTTGATCTCTTATGAACTGTAACAAATCCATAACAAACACTGTCAAATTTGTTAGCCAGAAATTAGTGTTACCAAATTTAGATTAACACTGGATGTCTTTAATTTGATATACATTTCAATAACTTACCTGCTAAATTAATTATCACTCTTTTTATATGCACAATGAAATTTTATTTCACAAATTAGTCAATGTCAGAAACACAATTCTTACAGATCTGAAGAGATCCAGCACACCTGAATGAAACTTCAGCAAATAATTTTGATAAATTAAAAATGTTTTGAAAGTTGAGACTTGTAATTGATCCACAACGACATACCTTATTAATATATTAATACACTAACATTGGATCAATTAGCAAAACCATAAAAAAAAAAAAACAGTTTTTATAATATACACTCTAAAAAAGCATCACCACTATCATCTTCCTTTATGGATTACTCGTTTCCTGTTCTAGTTCCAAATTTTCCTATTCCTGTTCCAAATTTTTCTCAGTCTTCTAATGTTTCTCTTTCCCTTGATTTAGATTTTAGAGTTTGCATTGGAAGTCTGCCTTTAAAAATTTGCTTTTACTTGAATAAATTCCTGAGGTTACCATATTCTTCCAACTTTCCAGTGCTTTACAGCACTTTTCATCACTTGTACTAGAAGACTTGGATACCAATCTCTCCTAATATTGTACTACCTCTTGAAGTATGATATAATTTACATGAAAATTAATGATGGTACACAAGTAAAAAGCAACCATTAAATCGTCACTGCCGGTACACTGTATACAGATATATTTAAAAAATCTCCTTAATAATGCACTAACATAAGGTCCACAGTTACAATAATTTATATGCTGACGAAGGGAAAGAAATAACACTAAATTAACTGATGATCAAAAATATTGAATAGTTGGGTGACAAACCAACAAATAAGAACTCAAAAAAGCAACAAATACATATAACCTTATCAGTGGGTATTTAGTGGGGAGCAAGAGGAGCGCCTGAGGTCTCCATTTTATGGGTGACACCAATTAGAAAATTTTGTTTGGAATAATATAATTAAATATTTAAAAGTTATATTTCAATTTTAAAATATATCAATATATTATAAATAAATGTCATGTACAAATATACTTTTATTTTTAATAAATAATGTTTAAACTATTCAGTAATAGTCTGAATTCTAACTATTCAGTACCTATTTTTATATTAAATATATAGGGGGAGAGTAATGCCATTAGTATTTCCCTGGGTGACACCAACTTTAAGAGATTGCTGAATTGCTCATTTTTTGCTATGTTGCTCTTGCCTGTCAAAGAACTGATATTTTGGCATTATGATTGTGGATGTCTAGTCTAATACAACTACCATTTCTAAGGTCCTCAAATCACATTTTTTGTTTGTTTTGATTTGCTATTTTAAGATCATTGACTGCTATTCAAAGAAAATTACACATTTTAAAGGAAGCATGAATGGGCAAACTATCATTTAATTTCAAATTTTTAACTTAAATGCTATGTAGTTCCTGTGTATAATTGTTTAAATATGACATTGTTGTGTATATATATACTTATATATATAAATGCTTATATTTATTAAAATTTTTAAATATAATATTGTAATAACTTGTTTAATTTTCTATAACATTATGTATTAAACTTGTAAAATTTCAAGAAAAATTATGGAACTCTTAATTTTTGAACTTGTGCTTTATTTCAGAGGGATGTGCAAATGTCAAGAAATCAAGAGGAGCCAGATTCAGATGAGGTTGTATGTAATGGTTTTTATATGGTAATTTAGATCTAAAGAAATAAGGCAATCAATTTTTTTCAGACTTACAGAATTTTTGTGTATGTAGTGTTTTCTTGATGTAGGATAGTGATTAACAGTTCCATACCCATGAAGAGGAGGCTGTTAATAAGTTCACGTTTGGTGCCATGAATGCACTGGTGAAACTCAATACATTTCACTACAAATTGTCAACATGATACTTGCCTGAAAAACATTTTCCATGATTTCTGTTTTCAGGTTTTATCAGGAGCTTGATTCATGGTTTTTTGGGTCATCCAGAAATGACATAATGTTAACGAAGTGGGGAGGGGTTTTGAAGTGCCTTTATGCTGCTTTACATAGAGGAAGGTGGTCACAGTTTGGTGTTACGTAATGCTGATATTTATTTTTAAAATTCAACATTTGCTAAAATAATTATTTTTATTCACTAATCCTGAAACATTAATATACAAATTAAATTTAAAAAACATAATACTAAATTAAAAAGGTATGATATATTATAATAAATGGAAATATATTTTCATCAATGATATATTGATTGAGTCAGTTAGGTTATGAAGAAAATATTTGAAACTGATCTTTAGTACATGCTAAAATCCAATTAAATTGGCACAGCAGACTCAATGCATCATCAGTGACGGCACTTGCGTGTTGTCATAAATTTTCTCACTTACACATCCTTCCTTTATTCGTAAATGGTCCCCAATTCAAATTATTAGATGATGTCTGTATTGCCCACTAATTCTGACCTCAATTATCATAAATTTTAATATATTACACAAATAAAATTAATCCAACTTTGCTACTAATCTATAATGTATTTTCTTCTACTACTCTCTTTGCTACTACTCTTTAAATTATTTGAAAATAGAGGTGGAGGGGGGAAGTCATGTTGCAATTATTTTTTTGGGGGGGGAGGTTACAGGGGGAGAGAGGTTTTTTGAAAAATCCAAATTTGCGTTACATACCTTATGGATGGCCTCTTTGGTGATTTTGATTTGACACTTGGTTTCCTTTTCAGGATGTGCTACTACCACCTGCTGATGTCCTTGTGCCTAAAATTGAATTTTTTGAAGAGGTGAGAAAGGATGTTTTGTTGCATTATTGTGGAAAGAAGCCGATCCGGTGGCCGAGATCGCTAAGGCAGTAGTGCCGTAGCGATCTCTCTTGTACCGAAAGATCGCGGGTTCGAGTCCCGCCTCGGGCATGGTTGTTGTATTGTGTTCGTCCTTTCACCCCCTATCATTCATCATCCTCCATCTCTCATTATCACCTTTCTGAATAACATTCAGAATTGTACCTCGAGGATTTATCCTCACCTCAAGGTGATACCTTCGACAGTCGACCATGAACAGTAAAAAGTGAAGTGGAACGACTCAAGTGGTCCAATGTGGCCAATCAAGTTAATAATAATAATTGTGGAAAGAGAACTCCATCTACATGAAATACTGCCCATTTTACCCACATATGTTTATTTCCCATATTTGTACCTGAGCACTGATGGCACCTTCATGCTTAGGATTTATTCCAGTTTTATTTGTGCAGGTATTCACAATTGTTGGGGTTGCGTAGGAAACTGTTACAAATAGAGTCGCTTTTAGAGGAGTTGACATAAATAGGCAAATAAAAGTTTGCCACCCTTCAAAATAAAATCTCTCCCGAGTTTGTAGAAACTTAAAGAAATTTTAAAATGTTTGGTAATATAATAAGTGTTTCTACAATTTCTCAAAATTTGCAGTTGTTGGTAGTGCCAGCTTTGCCCAGCACCTTTGATCTCCCCTTACAATTTGATCACTTCCATGGAGTTATTAACAGAGAAGAAATAAAGGATTAGATTTGCTGTAGAATAATAATAAAGTATGTCACTTTTGTTCATGGAGAACTATTGATAATATTGCATTATATTTTATTGTAAGTAATACACAAAAAATAAGACAAATTATTTTTAAAAATTAATAAAAATCTAATAAGTAGTTTCATTGGTTAGTATCACTGCATTATTGTGAGGGAAAAAAACCCAACAAAAACAAAAAGAAAAGAAACTTAATATCTGTTACTTTCTATTTTATCAAAGCAGTTTAGGAAATACTATGAATTTAAACAATGGCCTCGATACAGATTCTCTTTATCCCATGAATGACTATTACCTGAAAATATCCCAAGAAACTGTACTCAGAATGTAAAATATCTGCCCTCATACAGGGACAATGTCCTAAGATGAGCTAATGCACTCAAGAGAACCAGGAAGCCTCAGGTTTTATTTATTCCTGCTTCACCCATGGGTTTGTAATCACAAATGTTTGCATTTATGGATAGGACGCAAATGATGGGGTGATGTGTGGGATCGTCATTCCTCGAGAGTTTAATGACCTTCATTGAAGAAGTATTAATTTTCTTTCCCAGCAAGGGACCCAATTAATTTATATCATGTCTTGTGTATGATTTTTGCACTTTGAAAGGTTTTAATATAGGAAAAATAGTAGGTGGGGATAAGAACCTTTTTCAAGAGTATTCTCAGCTCTGTTGACTGAACTGCACAAATAAAAATAACGCTTCACTCGTCAGCTTGTCAATCCCCTCCTTTGAAAAATATTGCCAATTCGCACCCTGTGTGAGAGAAGGGCACACAAGTCTTGAGCATGTTTAGCCTCTATAAAGTAACCTCATGGATAGAATCCAGATGTTTATGACATTTAATTGTTTTCTATTTTGCTTCAAATGAGTTCATTTTAAGTTATTTTAATTGTCATTCCATTTCAATTATCTTCATCTTTCACGCCTAGTGTATCATACTTTAATTCTTATATTAAATAATATTTCATAATATAAAGTCATATTTTGGCCTGTTTTGGCCAATATTTCTGACATTTTCACATATTAAGGTCATATTGTATGTCTATTTGAAACCACTTGTGTTTTATTTGGCTCGCATATAACATACTAATGAGTTTTTAGTAACAATTCACTGAATTGCCACCTACATCGGAGATAGGCCGATGACATCTCTAGTTATTGTAATATTGGTAGCACTTAATTTTCTGAGTTTTTTGTCACATTGACAATACATTATAAATACTGTAGAAAAATATTTTGTTAATTAATTTCTTTGTTGTCATATTTTGTGATCATATTTTCATCATTTTTAGCATCATAAAGATCTGGACTCTACTCCTGTCAAAATTTATCCATTTAGTGAAAAATTCATAATGAGGAAAATTATCAAGATAAGTCATTAAAATTCCCTAGTGTCTAGAGGACCCTGCTTGCCTATTTAAAGTTGCATGAATGTAGAACCAAAATATATATATATATATATATATATATATATATATTTTTTTTTTTTTTTTTTGAAATTTCATAGCAGTAAAGAAATTGAATTGATTTTTTAATAGGAGGTGACTGAAGAGAGTGGTTTGAACCAAAGTCATTCTGGACAGGAGCAGATAGGTGCAAGCCCAAAGCTGGAGTGCAATGGGCACTTTCTTGCCGAAGTCTCTGGAAAAGGTAAGGATGTGCTCTGAATTGAAAATTGTTCTTCCATGTGGCCAACTCTTGTCTTCGCTACAAAATACAATATGATATACAATTACAAATTATGATTTTATATCGGTTTAAAATTATGAAAAAAGGTTATTCTTAATAATTTAGACAGCAGTCTGCTTTTACTTGTATTATGAGTGTTTCATAATATTATGTTGTAATAATTCAACTTCTAAAAGCTCAAAAAGATAATACAGTCATGAAATGATGTAAAAAGTTGAGATCAGTGCCGCAGCTAAACAATTTTGGGCCTGGGCCAATGCTAAAATTTAGCCCCCCCCCCCTCCCCCCTGAAAAAATTAAAGAGGTGGAAGTTCTTTCAAGATACTATGAGTTATTTTATTCCAACAAATAATAAAAATAACATCATGAAAGCTAGAAAAAATTGTGGAAAATATGTTTTAAATAATAGTTTTGAGTAAAAGTATTTAGTGATCAAATAACTCAATTTCCATGGTGATCTTAAATCCCCCCCCCCCAAAAAATTGTGTTTACCTAGCGTTTAATAAACACTTGTTAAACACATGAAATAATAATACGAATTTCAGCGGAACCTATTTTAATGTTTACATCATTTGATTCATTTCATAGGTTCCTACTTTATAAGTAATTATTATAAAGAAATATTTAAGGTAAATTAATTTAAATTTCATGAAATATCAGACTACTGTACCGTGACTTCTACATGGGTTCTAATTTCGTTTTCAATTTTCTACTAATTTTTTCCCATCAGTCCCATCATTGGGCCCTTTGACTTGTGGGGCTTCAAGCAATTGCGCGGTCTGCCCATGCCTAGCGCTGGTACTGGTTAAGATTAATTAAATAATCAGGTAGCTCATTGCCCACAAAATTGTTCAGCTCATCACTTTATCGTATGTATAGAATACTTGGACTTTGCTTGTGATTAGGTTGCCTTTTAGCTATTTTGGCACCTTGTGCAACCTGCAACAACCAACATCGCTTTTATTCTTGTCTTTGTATCACTATAGAGAGACTACTACAAGAAGGAACTGCTTTGACAGCTATTCCTCGGCCATTGCTGGCAATATAATTGCAAGTTACGTCCATGCACTCATTTTGTCAGAGCATTCATTCATTTAGAGTTAGCTCATTTGTAAATGGCTTCATCAGTATCTCTTACAGTGTCATTGACCTACATGATGCTGATTTGTTTCCCAACCTGTCAAAGTGGTCCCTTCTTATAGTAACTTGTCTATTCTATGGGACCTTCCCCCTCCTCAGCTATCAGAGGTGGCCCATCTCCTTTAACCTGTAGTGGGAAGTATTGCCAAGGCAAACCATATTCTTCAGGCCGTACAACGGAAGCTAAGATGCAACTTATGAAAAATATAACTTCTGGATGGGGACATGAAGATATGTTCTCACAGTAGGTGTGTTATGCTGGAACAGTCATGTCAGAACTCCCAAATGAAAGATGTCAAATGATTTATTGCTAATTGCCACAAGTTGGAATTATTTGCCATGAATTATTGTAGAATAACAGGTTACTGTAAATGGTTCAACATAAAATGTATATATTAATTGTGTCATTTAAGTTATGATTTCATTCTCTTTGTATATTTTATTTATTTTTTATATATAAAAATAAATTTAAAAAAAATTATATTACAATATGCCATATGTAAATAAAAAAACTTAATAGTTTAGGAAGGGCAAAAATCTGCCTCCTCCCCTTTCTCCATTGATGTATGTCAGCTTTTCTTCATCATAAATATAATAGGTTTTTTCATAAAATACAGTTATTGATGTAAGTGATGATTTTTTGCCATTTGCAGAGCCAGAAATTGAATGTTATGTGTTTAAATCAGTGCATATGTATATTATTAGTGGTCAGTACATCAATTTATTAAAATCATCAAAAACATAAAATAAAATCAAAATTTAAGAGGTGGGTCTGGAAGCCTCACCCTCAGTAATACATGGGACCAAAACTTTGGTATTCCAGAATTTGTGCAAAGCTTACTTTACAATATATTATGGAGATGTATTTAACTGTTTAACTGTCATGTTAATTTTCACTCAACTCCGGAATGAATAAAACTTTTAATGTTTTTTTTTTTCTTTTTTAGCACCTTCTCCATATCTTTATGCCAGCAGAATCTGTGAAAAAGATGTGGCAGAAAAGATTCAGACAGGGGAGTATATTGTTGTTCGAAAGGAAAGATCAAGAAGCAAGGTTTGGGAGAGGTTTGCTTCTATTTATGATGCCGATAGAAAGAGATATATGGGATATGTTCAGTGTACAATCTGTGGAATTTTACTGACCATGAAGTTGGGTTCAGGGACAACACATCTGTCACGTCATGTATGCAAAAACGATGGATTGTCAGGGGCAATGTCTGTTAATGTTAGTGTTAAAGTCAGCGATGAGTTAACAGAAAGTTGTTTGAAGAAATGTATTGAAATGTGTGTCAGGGACCTTGTGCCATCATCCACAGTGTCAGGAACAGGTTTTAGAAATCTTTGTCAAGAACTAGTGAAAATCGGAGCTGCACATGGAAATGTTAATGTTTTACGTTTGTTACCATCTGCTGATACAATATTAAAGCATGTGTCTAGTTTGGCTGCTCACTTACGTGAAAGCCTCCTACCAGATATTCGTAAGGCAGTACTTGATGGGTTGTGTGTAATGGATATTTGGACAGAAAGAGTGCAGGATACGAACCATGCTATTGTGACTAGCCATTACATTTCAGACGATTGGAAGATTTGCAGACATTTGTTAATTTCCTTTGAATTTCCACATGAAGAAACTTTTGATAACCAATACACTCTTAGAAAATTCCTTCAATTAAAATCGTCTAGCATTGATCTTCCTGCAGAAATTATGAAGAAATTGATGTACGTTACAAGTGATCCATATGATTACTACAGTGAATCATTAGATGCATTTCATTTCAACAATTCTCATATACTTTGTGCAGCCAGCTATATTAGAGCTACTATTCGAAAGACATTCGCTGACAATGAAATTGAATACTTGTGGCCTGAAATCTGGGCATGTGTGCACGCTGGAAAGTTAATTATGCATTACCTAATAAACAATGGACTACAGGAACAGCTGAATGTCATGATTCAACAATCTCTGCCTTCTTGTTGGAATTATTCTTTATTTGTACTGGAAATAGTTTTTAGTAATTATGAAACTATTCATCACATCTTCACTGAGAAGATGGAAATTGCAACTCTACGCCATTGGAATAGACAACTCATGTCTGAAATTGTTCCTTTTCTTATGAAATTTAAGGAAGTAATCATTGAGCTTCAAAATCATACTTATCCTACATTACATCTTGTCTTGGTACATTATTTTGAACTCAAAAATTTGTGTACTCCATCTGCCTCAGATCATCCGGTAAGTATAACTAGCCATAATATGTCTGAAAAATTGAAGGTTCCATCATGCCACAGGGCAACCACATTCTGAAAAACGTAGAAAACCAGGAAAAAACAGAATATCATTGCTCTGAAAAAGACAGGAAAAAATCAAGGAATTGTAGAAGAATCAAGTCAGGTAAAATATTTGGGAGGATTATATAAATAGATATTATATTTTAGAAACATTAGTACTGCATTACAACAACAAACATTTTTTGTTTTTGCTCAGTTTATTTTCAGTGAGAAAATATTGTTAATTTGTACTTTGTTATGGTGAAATTAGAGAGTTAACAATTAGTATTAGGGTAGCTTTTATATATTCGTTAAGTAGTGTGAAATTACATATTTTATCAGGAAAAAAATTTCAAAAATGCACTGGTAACAATCAGGGAAATTTGTTCCTGGAAATGAGTGGCAACCATGTGCTATGATGTTTATCATTTAGTCTGGTCTTCATTAACTGAGGGATCGACAGCTAAAGACCACCCCACTTGCTAAATGTTAATAGAAACTGTGTAGGTTTGACATTTGAATATAGTAAATAAATGGGATTTTCAAATTTTAGTAGTATTGCAGAGTCAAAATAAGACTTGAAAATTACAATTTTTTACATTTCCCTTTATGTAGTGTAGAGAAAGTTATGTTACTCTGCAAAAAAACAATTTTCACAGAATTTCAATCATGATTTTTAACTGAGGTACACATTTTAGGAGGAAAAATTATTGTCAATTAGTTCAAAAAATTAGTAATAGCCATATCAGAATTACCATTACAATTACCATAACATTTTGAGTATTTTTTTATTTTGGTGAGAATACAGAATTTGAACTTGGTGTAGGTTTTTATCATTCTCAAAGAGAAGAATTTTTGATTAATAACTGCATAGAATGCCTGATGTTATTGACACCTTATTTCTCAATTAATTTTTTGTATGTTGAATACAAAACAGGTATTATAAATCATTTAAATATTTTTCTTCAGTAATAAAAAAACATGAGTCCACAATTGTTTGTACTAATTTAAACCAATTTTATTAAAAAATTAGATAGACAAACAAAAAGTTAGTTAGATAAACAAACAAACGTACAACCTTCTTCAGTGTTCATACATTTATTTATTAACTTGGTAACTTGAAATGCTTTTTTAGTTTTTATTTAAAAAAAAGAAAAATGGCACTCTTTTGTGGCCAAAATCAGAAAACATGGAAAACAATTAAGTTTTGAATGCCCATACCACTGGTCACTCAAATGTGGACCAATATTTTGCTTTTCCGGGTATTAATGAAAAGCATAATTTTGATTTAGGAGATAATATCAAATTGCCAGAATACACATGTTTTGATTTTCAGGAAACTGTTAAAATGAAACTGGAAATTCTGGGAAGCCTACTTAAATATAAAATAGTCAAGGAGCATTATATTGCTACATTTCTTTGTCCACATACACGACTTCTAAAACAGCTCGATGCTACGACAAAGGGGCAAGTACATCAACATGTTCGAAATATGTGCACTGTTATTAGTGGTAAGTAATTTTAGAAAATACTAAAGAGCTTAACGTATTTGATGTGAATTGTCTGTGAACCAAAACATCAATCATTTGAGAATAAATCATGAAATGTGAATAAAGAAAATTGTGGTTGAATCTGAACAATTAGTAATTTTGGAAAATGACCAGATTTAATCAGATTATATACTTCATAATGAATTTTGCTTTTTTCAGGAATCTAATTTCTATTTATTTAAGAGAGAAAAAAATAATTCAATATTCAATCGTTACTGTGTATTGCTTTTCCAATGTAAAATAGTGTGATGTTCATTTTTTTTGTACATTTAAAAGGGGGAAAACTTTAATTTCAGAATCAAATTTAAGACTATTTTACAAAGTGAAACAATGAAAAGCATGTTATGTAGAGACACAAGCATGGCATATTTCAAAATTTTGAGAGTACAGCATACTGTGCAATGTTCAAAAATGGGGAAACTATGACTAATAAATTTATTACATCAGATGATGTAGATGACAGTGTATTACTAATGGAGTAATTTTCTTATTACTAAGCTGAGGATTTTTGCTTATTTGCTTATTTTTTCCTTTAATGGAAAATGCAATATTTTACATTACTTATTTATTTTGAAGAATTAGGAGTAGTATTGTATGTAAATTTTATAGTGTCTATAAATGTCTACTTCACTAATAAATGCCTATTTTGTATTTAAATTCATAAATGTAGCCCATTCTCGTATTTATTGATCAAAACGCAATTATCCTTAATCAAAAAGTGAAGAAAGTGTGAGATTTTTTTGGGTTATATGCATATTATAAAAAAAGATCTCAAAAAACACTTCAAATTTTTTCTTCAGTTTTTTTCTACAGAGAGAGCAAGAGACATTTAAAAGAATGGCACAGGTCCCACTTTTGCTGAAATCTGAATTTTTGAATATTGCAATATTTTTAGATATAAAGCGAGAAAGTATGAGCTGATGTAACAACACTAGTTACAACGTTTGTGTTATGCTCAGCAGTTAAAACAGAGCAAACAATGTTTCCAGTTATGTTTAAATTAAATGTGAGGAAAAAGATCATTAACATTATACTTTATTGTTTTGTTTAATGTGGCCCATGACATTTGGTCATTGTTACGTCTCCTGCCTTATAAAATGAATCTTCTTAACAGTGGTAAGCATGCCATGAACCCTGTTGAGAAGGACATTTGCGAATTTATTTAAAAGATTAATTTTATAAGACGGGGAATAACAATGTCCTAATGCAGTGGGCCACTTAAGAAGAAACAAAGTATAACGTGCAGCATTTGAATATCAGCTTGAATTTAATGAAAAGTAAAAAGATAGCTATTGTGATTCAGCCATTTCTGTCTGAAATTCCCAACAATGATAGAAAGGATATCTATGAGGATTTGTCAGAACAATGATGAAAGCAAACATTTCATGAAGGTAACTATATTGTTTGCTTCATAAACTATCTTTACAAGTATATAAATAAGGATAATAAAAAATGTAGTGCCTTAAATACCTATTTTACATTCTTAAATGTCTATTTTGCCTACCTATTTTCACAGATTTTTGTGTCTATAAATCTTCAACTTACTTATTAAATTGAATCAAAGTTTTACATCTGTTGATGAGTTGAATAAAGAGAGACTTAAAAAATTTGCCAAAAGATGTACAGAAAAGAGCATTGTTTCAATTTTAAAGTATTTTTAAAACATTTTTTACTACTTTTTTTTTATTGTCAGTTTTAGGGACTGGACTGACTATTATCAAAATTTTTGAAAGCCATTTATAATCTTGAATGTATTCTCGAATAGAATTTTGAAAATAAAACAGAAATTGACAGAAATCTGCTGTTAACTTCTGAAACAACAAATTTATAAATCAGCTTCTCTTCAAATTTATAAATATTCTTCTCTCTTTTGGCGTTTTCATGTTCCAATTTTTTAAAAAGTTTTTTAATTTGTTGTTTCTTCAATTTATGAAATACCGATCTTTGAAATTATTCCTATTGTAGGTGCCACTCAAAATGCTTCTTATCCGCAACCTGCGAAAAAAAGTCGTTTTGGATCATGGAACCAATATGAAGAGGATGATGGAACTTCTTTGGATGAAGTTCATTTGTATCTGGCTACTGGAAAGCAAGAAAGTGAAGACCCAAGTGACTTGTTGTCATGGTGGCTAGAAAAAGCAAAGACATTCCCAAAGCTTTCACAAATTGCTCGAAAAGTTCTTTGTATACCTGCTACATGTTCTCCATATGGACAGTTCTCCAATTTCAATGCAATGCTTGCTGTGAAAGACAAGTGTTTCGCCTATGACCAACTGAATGATTTGCTTTTCATCCGTAATAAAATAATGGTAAGTATTGAGAACCAGAGTTCTTCATTGAGTTGTACTAAGGGATGTTCTACACCTCCAAAACATGGAAATATCAGAGTGTGATGGGTCTGGACAAAGTCTGGGAATTTTACTACAGTACCTTGAAAAATGGTTTAATTCATGATAAAATTGTATTTTAAAAGTTTTATGATTATAAATAATCATATTAACAATTTTAGAATTTTGAATTGTCTTTATGTTAGAAATTATTGGCATAAAAAATTCAAGGTACCATATTTATCCGGACATGAGAGACATATTTTTTCCTCTCCAGTTATTGCCTTCTAAAAATTGATTATTCCTATTTTCATGCACAAAGAAAATGTGTACTAATACAGTTTGAGATTTTGCTCTGTAGGCTCAAACCCCGAAAAGTTCCAAAAAGTTTATTTTGTGGATATGTGATGTAGAAACAATTGATGTTCCAGGGAACACTGTTGACACTTGATTACTCAGATTTTTCTTTTATTTTGGGATGCCTAAAAAGAACACAAATATAGCTTGAAGTCACAGACTTCCGCGGCCGGAGTCATGTAAATCACCGCCCATTGATACACGCGAGCCCTTATCACTCCAGCACAGACCAGTCCTGAAGAAGACCATGATAAGATAGTCAAAATATCGTCGACACAACATTTGACGCGGCGTCACCCGAACAGACCAGATCATTTACAATTATAGCTTGTTTTTATAAAAAATGAATGGGTTTTGCTGGGAACAGATCCTGCCTTAAGATTAGCATCATAATATATTTTGAATTTTGTAAATTTAAGAAAATACAAGAAAAAATGCAAACATTCATATATATTTCCCTGAAATATTTTTGTAAGGAATTTTGCCTAATGCTTTTAGTTGTTAGAAGTGGTTATTATATTGTGCTAAAGCTTTTGCTGATATACCAGTTTGTTGTTCATTTAGATCTTGAAGAAACATTAATAAATATGGTTTATTTGTGTAATTCTGTGGCTACTTCTTTTGGTTTCGGTTGCTTCCTATCAGTACTCTGGAATACAAATTATCTGTAAAATCAATATGTTTTTATTAATTTATGAATTTTTATCATTATTAACTCATTAATTTATGGTCAGGCTCATCTTTCTGCATATTAGTCTGGTGACCCTCAATTTCTTAGGCATTATTTATCTCCTTTCGCACTAGTTTTCTTATTCTATTCAAACTCCCAATGATGCTAGTAGCAAGTTGCTAGTGTTCAGTCAGCATCCTAGAGGATAAGAAACAATCACAATGACAATAATTATACCTTTGTTCAAAGATAAATTCAGTCAACTTGGTAAATCTCTCAGATATTATTAGATTTACAACCATCTTTACACTCAGAACAAAATGCTTTTATTATATATTTTTTCTTAGTCAACATGCATCCAATATTTCTATCCACAGTAAATTCAGGGCATGTCCCAATTTTTTTATTTCTTAAACTGGATAAATGTACATTTACATTTCAATGGAAAGAACTTCAGCTGTAGCCATATACTCTTGCACAAGTGCAAGGGAAACCAAAGTTCCCCCACTCTGCCGGCATGCACCAGAAACAGAAGCATGTTTTTTTTTTCATTTCTTAAATGAAAAGCAAGCTGATTTCAAGTTGGGTTTTCTTTGCTGTCCTTTGCTTGTGTACGACTATCCATTCACAATCTACAAACACAAAATGACGATGTATTAAAAATGACATGTTGGGGCCTTCTAAGTAAACTAAAAAATATACCAAATACTGGTTGGTTATGTAAATAAAATTTAGTGGGATTATTAAACCATAAAAAAAGCCATCAAATCCCAATTCAACAGATTAAAACTCAGCCCATGACAGTACATGGAATATCTCAAATGTGTGAAAATTGGCACATCGGGCGTTCTAGTGTAAAGTGAATCATGTGATACATATTGCAGTTGTATCTACCTGATTCATATGAATTTTTCAATAAATCCTTGAAATCTATAAAGTGAAAGTGCAATTTGTCACTTATCTGTGAAATTTTTAATATTTTGGTCGAGTATGAGATATGGAATTGGTACACCACAGAAGTAATAATGATGAATAAAACAAAGTTTAAGGTATGAACTGAAAATGTAATTTATGTAGAGTATTTATACGATATTATTTTCATTTTATTTTGGGGTTTTCATTTCTAAAAACGAGTCATATTGAAGTAAATGAAACATTCTCTTATAATATATACAATTAATATATTCCGGGATTTTTCTGCCATTACTATCCCTGATTTGCTTATTTTGCCCATCTTTGGTCGTCCTATTTTAGCAACTTAGAATTCTATGCAAAAACATTTATATTTTCAATATTTTTAATTTAATGGAGTGGCTAGCTTTTGTTTTTCTTTAATCTGTGGGCATCAACATACCTACACTTTCTCAGGGTACTATACTAGTCTTCGTGTGCACAAAAACACTGCTTATACGAGTATTCGGGTCGTAAATAATCAAATTATCATTAGGAAATATTTGTTACTACTGTTATTGATAAATTAAACAATTTGCAAATTTTGTTTTAGAATTTCCAGCAACATTAAGTGTCGGCTGTCGTAATTAATTTATTCAATTTTTTTTTTAAATTTCTTTAGTGATCAAAAATATATTTCTCTTATCTTTAATGGCCATCGAATCTCTATAGACAACCCAACATAACAATTCTTTCTTAATTTTAATATTACTTATATCTAAACATAACTTGGCCTTACTATAACATTTTTATTAATGTCTTTCTGCCACTTATTGCCTAAAATTCCTTTTTGAAGAATTTAGAGCGACCTTGGCAATGTCAATGAAGTTAGTGACTGTTCCAGATTTCCCTCTGGAGGTCTTCTTACATCGACACTGAATTTAACTTATAAATTTCTACTTTTAATTTCAACCTAATTATCTAACAAATATTATGGACTTTTCTCCAAAAAATTGCATTTTAACATTAATTCCCTATTCTCTTATTACATGTGGACCACGTGTCCACGTTTCTATCTCCACGAACTGGTTTACGAAATATTTCTACTTATAGCGCTGACAGCCATTGATCCTTCATCTACCATATCTGGCATAGTTCTGACCAAAAATTGTTCGCTTACATTTCCTCTCTGACCTAACCGGTTCACTTGTTTCATTGTTATTCTCGTTCATTGATGTGCTCTTTTTGCACCGCAATTATACACCTCGGGCATCTTTTGTTTTATCTATCAACAATGTCTTATGTTAATTATCTGCTTTATTTTCAGAAAATAATCTCAAATTGTCAAGATTTCTTCTTCCAATTAAAATTTGGTTTTCTGATGCCTTATATTCTCAATCATTGCGCAATTCCTTCTCTACAGTTTCCCAAAATTTCAACCTTTTGTCTTATAATTTGCATCTGATATCTCAATATAAATAAACAGTAATTTAATAGCATCGTAAGCTTTCATAGCCGGAGTCAATATCAGAGAGAGTTTCCAGGCTGGTAGGCCGTGGTCCAGATGGCGTTAAACTGCCAGATGTTTCATCCATGACTGCCATGGACAGCGAGCCACCACTGAAGATGTCCACAGTGTGGCATAGCTCACTCTTTTTTTTCAACGCCCCAATTACTTATTATCATCCCTGTTTCTTTCTCACTTCTGCTTTTCAATGAAATTAAATTTTAAAAAACACCTTGTGTTATTAATAAAAAAATTGAAAACAATAAAAATAAAAATTAACTTGGAGTGTATAGTGTAAAGTAAGTGGTCAATTAAAAAAAACTAATATGATGAAGAGTCCTCAAAAATATTTGTTGTTATTTTATCTATTAACTTTTTCAAATATTTAAAATTGATTATTATAATTGTGTTTCAATGTAGTATTGGTAAAGTGAACTGATTTATTTTTTCTCTCTCCAGGCTAACATCTCGCAGGAGCAAGTTGAGAGCAACGTTGAAGAGAAGAAGTCTCACTAGAAGAGACAATAATTGGTTAATATTTTTTTTATTTTACAACAATTATTGAAAATATAATCTTACTGTTATTGATTTTTTTTCTTGCCTGCAAGAGGTAACATGATTTTCCAGATGCAAAGAAAAGTTGATGGGTCGAAATGACCCAAACACTTTAATTCCTGTTTCCACTCTTATAGAATGAATTCATTTTGCTACTTGTATTTAGTTAGATATTTATGTGTATTTTTTATAATTAATATGTTTACTTAATTTTTCAAATGACTAATTTATTTGCGGCCTATATTTAATGTTTCCAACACAAAATTTGAGTTATTTTGAGACGTTTTTGGTTGATATGTAGAAATTTAAATAGAAGGTATTATAAAATAATTTGTAAGTACACACGGAAACATAATATTTCTTGATATTAAAGTCACTTGAGTAGCAATAAAGAAAGATCATCCCCCCTGAAGATAAATAATTTTTAAAGATTTCTGCACATCGCAATTTGTTAGCATTTGGAAAAGTCAGTTGGGTATATGATGGACAATGCGATGCTACCTGTAGGAATCTAGGAATCTATAAAGGGGTACAATTGAATTGTTTATTTCACAAACCCATCAAATGCCAAATTCCTCATTTCGAGAAAACCGAGAAAAAGTCTCCCAATTTTTCAGATTTCAAAATATTTTTATATATTAACACAGTTGAAAAATAATATTTTTCATATAAATATGTACAAAACAATGAGCCTATGCTCTTGAAACAACAATCCGTCACTAATGTGTGTTTTAGATTTTGGCGTTTGACTTTCTTCTGAAATAAACGATTAAATTCTGGTCCTTCCAAGATGAAAAATATATTTTAATACAAGAATAGGGGCAGAAGTCATAGTAACTATATTTTTACTGAAAGAAATGTTATCGGATCACACAGTTTTTATTATTGTGCAAAAGAAATCCTGTACTAATAAGTGTTCACAAAAGAGATGGCTGTGTGTGTCTATTAGCACAGAGAGCAATGTGAAATCAGTTATCTGACTACCATTGTGTGAGATGAATGTTACCCATTTTGAGCAGCGCTCATACACCAAGACAGCCATTTTCCATAGGAGAAATTTCTGAGAATGTCATGAGGATTTTTCCCCCGTTAATTCTGCTTTGTTCACAATCAATAAGTTCTACAATTTGAACTTTTGGTGAATTTTAATGATATACAAAAACAAAAACAATTAATTTATAATTACAACAATGATGTTGCTCAGTGGCTCAACTGAATCTCGATGTGAGATCAAGTGGTGAGTATTTTGCCAGTTGTCTGATTTTTTAGCTGTTGTCTAGTAGGTTGAGGGCCAGGTAGTTAGGGTAGTCCTCAAGCCTGCAATGGTATCTGCAACTTTTAACTGTTTATTACTTCTTTAATGGTTTTTATTTGTAGGTCATTGTGAAGGATTGTATTAGGGATGACCTGGGGCTTTGTGTGATGGTAAGTTTTGTATTACTTTTTCTACTTTGTATATTGTGAATGTCTTCACAGGCAGTGACGTCATTTGTAAGGGCATTTGAAGATATGTTTCCATTTCAAGTTCCGCTTTTGGATGAGTGGGTGGATATGACTGGAACACTTATGCAAGATGTTGCAAATGTTGTTGCCTTCTCTGTATTACTATCAACCACAACCACAACCATGAACCATCAACTTTGCATACAGGAGGGTTAAATTGATCTTTTAAACCTTCTTGTTACCTTCCACAATGAAGAATCTGATTCTTTACAGGTGGAAAGATTCTTAAGATATTTATTTATTTCAACATTCTTCAGTTCTTGAAGTGTCAAACTTGAATCTTTTGTTGCTCTGTTCAGATTTCTTTTTTTAAATGGATGCTTTATTTTTTGATAATTCTTTACAATTTTCTTTTGACAGGGACTTTTTCTTTATTATATTTAGGATAATATAAATTATTATTTTTGATGTTAAAATTTGGAGTGGGATGCCATTCTGCGACTTTCATACATCTTGTTATGTATTCAACTGTGTCATCTACTTACCTTCTAGGCTTCATCAATCTAATTAATGGTTAAGTTAACTTGCTATTTTGTATTAAAAGTATGGGAACTAATTTTAATAACAATGGGACTGCGGACTGAGCTGAGATCTAACGAGGCTTTAATTTGAATGAGGTTGGAGGAAATGCCCTTCACAATAAAGAAGTTTGTAAGGTCGGGTATCTGATGGCCAGTAAGTTGGTTACCCTGTTGAATAATACGATAGGTTCATGGATATAATGGCTTTATTCACCTCCAGTTGTATTTAACCTGGAACCCCACACTCAATATTTTGCATTAAAATCTCCGCCGACGATGAATCTCGTTCCAAGGGGTTTAAAAAACTTCACGAAATTCTTCTCGTTCACTTTGTGCTTAGGCGGGCAATATATAGCAGAAATGCTTAAGGGCCCATGTGAGTCGTTAATTTGAATTGTTGCTTGTGTATGTGTAGGTGTTATTCCCAATATTTATCTACTACATGGTGATTAACAGAATTTCTTATAACTGAAGTACCTCTGTGAACTTTTTCGCTAGGATTATTTGTTGTATACAGAGTATATTTCGGGAATTTTATATGGTTCATTGATGTAAAGTGAGTCTACAAAAAGTGTATCTACTTTACTATAAATCAGAAAATATTCGACTTCTCGTCTTCTTGATTCGAGACAGTTTGTATTCCAAGATGTGATGGTAAGCTGATTTGTCATTTTGTTAGAAGGTTGGACATGAGATTTATTAGCGTGCTTATGGGCACAGTATAACTGTTATACTGTGTTATTAAGTTGTACTATGTTATTGGTTCCGCTTGCTTACTAAGAAGATTTTCGAATTTCTGAAACGATTCTTTAACAATTTCTACAAGTTCACTTTTTTCTCATGGCTGTTTGTTAGTAATAATTTGCGCATATGACCTTGTTTGTTGGTGGAAGATTGTACTGCATTTCCTTCAGGTAGTGTTTGTGTAAAGTCAATTTCCATTGGGAAAATATTGAAGTTCTTTTGTAACATTTTTTCTTGTGGTTCCAAGAACCTTTAATTTTTAAGAGATTGGTATATGACGCACGCTTTGTATGTTGGAGGATGGTGTCTTTCGCATACGTCGCACTTTGGCATGCTGTTTTTTCCTTGGTCGCAATCTTCTATGCCGTGACCTCCACACCGAATGCAGCGCTTCGGTAACAAGCAATAACTTTTAGTGTGACCATATGCCTAGCACTTTTTACATTGCATTTTTTTGCGAACAGGTTCCATCAAAACTATGTAGTTATTGAGGTGATCTATGTCGTAAATGCTTTTATTGTTGTTGGCCTGTTCTAAATTGACAAAAAATTTGTATATTGGAGCCTTTGGAAATCGGTTTTTGCTTTACGGATTTTTCGGACTTGTATGTCCTAGTTTTTCTATTTTTTCTTGTAACATGACTACGTCTGTTAACGGATTGATATGTTTCAAAACTTACTCCGAATGCTCGATCTTCCTTCATATGATACGTGTGAAACATAGTGTTCTTATTTTTTGTGTGTTTGAACAGGGAACGATGTGCATCGGATGCAGCCGGCATTATTTTACATTGTTGGTTATTAAGTAATTTGTAGAAGACTGAAGATTTTCAAAACTTCTTGGATAGTGTACTTCATTTGAGTTATATCTTTAACATCTGTGATGAATATAGACGGAGGTTTGTGCTGCTTTACTCGGTCTGCGAGGTTCATCATTCTTTTGAGTTCTTATCGGTCCAAATTTGTTCGCAGTCGCGACACTGTAAGTTGAGTTTTCTTTCCTCGCACGGACTCGTCTTTCAAGGTCATCGTTCATTTTACGTTTTGAGTTTCTATACGTAACTTTTTGCTACGCGTTATTTTTGATTTTATTATTAATGCCACTACTTGCACTGTTTAATTGAGATTCACTTGAATTATTGGCTTGAGTTTCAATTACAATTGCTGATTGCTCCATTTGTTGAGGTTGCTGTTGCTGATGATTTTGTGAGAGCTTTTGTTCTAAAACAAGTATTTGCTACTGATGCTGTTGTATTATGCTTTGCTGTTCCATTAACTGCCGCTGCTGAAACATTATCTGTTGTTTTGTGGAAACTTCACTGCATTGATCCATGGTTACGGCCACTACGGCTTCGGCCATGGCATGGCTGAGGCCGCCACTTGCAAATTCATTTTCACTTATATTTGCTTTAGTGTCACCACTTGTTTTAATATTTAGTAAATTATCACAGTTAATGTTACAATTTTAACAGTTTATAACTAAACGAACAAAAAGCGGTAAGCTCTGTTGCGTACTTATATGGCGATTTTCGCGACTTTGCTCCTGGCTGGTGTCGGTTGTTCACCATTTCATCCAATCGGAAGCTTCAACGTCACTATGATGACGTTGAAGCTCCCGATTGAATGAAACCGTGAACAGCTGAAAACTACCAGGGGCAGAATGTCATAAATTGCAGTATAGTACACTGAGAAGTTGGCTTCGAATTGTGAGAGCTGCTTTCCACTGAACTGCTCGGGTCGCTGTCTAGAGCCAGTCTACAGGGAATTGATGGAAGCTCTTAGGAGCAATGCCCTTCCATATCGGACTATCGATGGGCAGGAGAGTTTCTACGAGGACGGGTAGCAACTAGAGTTCAGCAATGCATGCGACAACGTGTGTTTTGAGTTTTTGCAGACTGATGTTGCATGTGCAGTACTCGAGCATCTGCCTAATCAGGCCTTTGGGGCGGGTATGTAATGCTTCTGGAATGTGAACTCTTATATGCTATAATGCTTTGAAATATGAAATCAATACTGTCATATTTTCAAATACCTGAGAAACACAATTTTGATGTGTTAAATGTTCATGCGATTAGTTCATACCATGCCATTTCGATTAGTTCATACCATGCCATTTCATGTGTGTATTTCACATTTTCCACCTGTACTTGTATTCTCACAAAAAATGGTTCCTATGACTTATGCCTCAAACCTCTTATTATACTACAATTAAATCTGGAGGATAATATAACATGTTTTCATCGCTTTGAGAATTCTTCTGACACTATGTTTCCATGGCAAATGGAGAACACAATTTTTTGAAGCTCAAACTTGACTGATGGATACAAGCATCATCCGACCGTATCTACTCTGATCGACAGCCCTGCTCTACAGTGTTGAGCCAGCTGAGTTTACCTCTTACCCAGCATTGCCACTGTCTCTGCAGCGACTCTGACTTAGAAGTACTAGGGTTTGAGTCCTGATACTGGTGAAATTTTCGACCCTAGCTATATAGCTAGGTCGATTTCACATGGTGTCTGGAGGAGAATTCTAGTGACCAACTGCTCTGATCGATAGTTTTCCATGGCTTCTCCGATAAATGAGACAACTACTAGAGCAGTCATGTTTGGGACAGTGTCTTGCTGCGGGATACCCGGAGAAAAAATGTCCCTCAAGCCGACATGAAGATCAGCGCTAAATGTCTCCATCCGGCGGGGAAGAAAC